AAGTGGACCCGAAGACCCCTGCAAGGAGGGAATGAAGGAGGGGCTCAAGAAGGGGATCTGGACTTACGTGTCGTGTCTGGCTGAGCTTAGTAGTCTTTTTATGTTGTAACGATAGACGAGTTTTTGAATTCAACAATGATTCATCACATTAAAAACATCATCATTAATAGTATTAATGTATTAAAAAAGTAAAAAAAAAAAAATACAACTCGAAGACCAAAATATCACATCATTAATGGCGGGATCTACTGCCACCTAATTAGTGGGAGCACTAATTAGTACTCCCAAGCATTTTTCTTTTGAATTTTGAAACAATTATTTTAGAATAATTTTAAAAGTAATTTTTAATGAGTAAACTATTTAAGTTTAAAAATTATATTCTCCTTTTAAGTTTAATAATTAATTAATCAATTATTTTTATGTATTATTTTTAATTATTAATTAATTTTATTAAATCTAAAAAATAGATTTGTGTACTATTATTTTTCATTTTTAATTTCTTCCCTTTCATTAATGTTTATGTATTATTAATAAAATTTATAAATTTTTTGCAATCATAAAAAAATTATATAATTAGAAAATAAATTTTTATTTTTTTTTTCATCTCATACCCTCTAGCCACAACTTAGACTAAGTCTCCGTTTGGGAAGTGGGTTAGCTTTTTGGCTTTTTGGCTTTTTTGGCTATTTTAGCCTGGGCTAAAAAACTTGGTTTGGGAAGGGCTTTTTGGCTTTTTGGCTTTTTTGACTTTTTTTGTGAGAGAAGAATGTAATGATTATAGGTTGGATATGATGTTTTGTTTGTTATGGCTAAAATAGCCTATTTTGTTTTTTGTGGCTAAAATAGCCAAAAAAGCCTGAAAAAGCCCTTGCCAAACGGAGGCTAAGTTTGGCTAACCTAAAAAAGTGCACTTATTTCATCTTTTTATCTTTTTTGGGTCACATCAATTAACATCTCCTCTCTACTTTTTCTACACATAATACAAAAAAATTCAAAAAGTGCACTATTTAATCTTCCCAAACTTGACCTTATTGCTAATCACCATCACCGATCACCCCAATCTTTAGCATTTGTCGTCAACAATCTTCTCCAATCACCATCCTCAGCAATCTCCTCTAGTAATCCCTTCCGTTGGAAACAATCTCTAACTATTATGGCTTCATTTGGAAAATAGGTTGGCTTTTTAATTTTTTAATTTTTTTTTATTATTTTAACCTGGGGCTAAAAAGCTTGGTTTGAGAAGGACTTTTGGCTTTTTTAATTTTTTGTGAGAAAAAAAATATAATGATTATAAAGTCTTATTACGTTAAAAAGCCTATTTTATTTTTTGCGACTATTTTAACCAAAAAAAATCAGAAAACCATTTTCCCAAACATAGGCTATCTCACCATCAACAACCACTACAACTAGCAATCACCTCCAGCGATGCTTACTTATTTTAAAATATATATACATATGCACATATAATATTTTTTTGGGCAAATTACATATACCTCCCTCGAGGTTTAGTAAAAATACAGATATTCTCTGAGATTTGAGAAATTACAGATACCCTCTTGAAGGTATTATTTGCATAACAAATTATGGGGCAAATTGTTATGAAAATATAAACATTAGAGGACAATTTGTTATGAAAATATAAACTTCAGGAGGTATTTGTAATTTCCGAAACTTCAGGGAGTATCTGTAATTTAGCTAAATCTCGAGGGAGGTATAAGTAATTTGCCCAACCTTTTTATAAATAGAAAATAAATAAATATTCTTCCATAAAATAAAATAAATAAATTTAAAGCATTTCAGTACGTGGCAGTAGGTGTATAGTGTATCCCCAATGTCACTACCCACAACACTTTCATCAAACACTTGGGAACTTATTCAAAGCATCTCAAAATTGAGAGCCCACTTCTTACCTCCCCATTGTCCACCACTCACCCTCCATGAATAGAGAGCTCCACCTTTGGCCACCATGAACAAGCATCTTCCATGTCAACCCCACAAAACATCTACCATCATCTCTCTCTCTCTCAATTTTATTTCCTTCACTTTGATTAAAAAAATTTGAGAAGATGCAATGTAATTTTTCAAACCAACAATTTGTAGTAAAACAAATTTTATGGGATGCCTGCAAAAAAATTTGGTATTTGGTGATCCTTTAATTTCAAAAGAACTCATTGTTATGGGTTGGCCTTTCCTTTATAATCTTCATTAGATGCCTAGGCTGGTGGAGTGAGTTTCATTTAATTTGGCTAGTTTATTTTGTAATTTTTTTATTTATATAATTTAATAAATTGATATGGTAATCATAATCTATTTATTTTATTGTTTTTTTTTAAAAAAAAATACACAATTGATTTGTTTAGAAAAATAAACTCTTAGTTGTGGATTTTTTTTTTAATTTTTTTTTTGGTAACAGGATTTTTTTTACTACCACAACACCGAATAACTTCTCTGATTGAAAGGTCGGCGAGATTGATGATTAGGATATATCGGGGATCAAACAAACACGACCACGTTGGCGATTGTGTTCGGTGGAACAATCTGCCAAAAATTATTTGGACATCTCCATTCAGATTTAAAAAGAGTGGTGTTATAAGTATTAATTGTAGTGTAAATTTTCCTTAACTTTTTAGTCTAAAAAGATAAAAAATACACTTATTTAGGATACACCAAACAACCCCTAATGTCATATATATATATATATATATTTTATACTACTCTTCCATGATCCAACATATACTCGTGGACGTTATTCTTTTTACCGATCACAAAACTCTCAAAATATTAATCGGCAATACTGTAAGATTACCGAATAACTTCTCCCCTGTGAGTCTTCTCTCCTTCAACAAGTAAAATAAGTCAAAGAAATAAATAAAATTAAAAAAAATTGATCTCAAAATGGCGTATCAAATTTAAATAAATGTACATGCTTTTTTATCTCACACCAAACAAATTAAAATGAGTTATTTTCTGTTCAGTTTTTTTAAGTTGATAGTTATTTTTTTTATATTTAATATAATGATTGTGAAAAAATAAATAAATAATTATCATTTAAATATAATATTTTATCTTATTAACTATTTTAATATATTTTATCTTTTAACTATCTTAGTCCAAAAAGCCAACCAATTCAACTCCCGAAACACACCCATTAATCTTTATTTATTTTAGGTGTTTATATATTATTGGTATTACTTTCATTATATTTAAAAAATGTTGACATAATTATATTAAAAATATAAAATTAATTATATTTTTTAAATATTAGGGAAAGTAAAGTGTAATTTATCAATTATTTTAAGTTTGAATTTTCCAAAGGGGGAACCATTGGAATGGGCAAACCTAGGCGTTCTTTTAGCATTAGTCAAGCCTTCCTCCATGTGCTGGCCCTGACAATGTCTTCTTGTTTTAATTTTTCCTCCTTCTCTTTTCTTTTTCACTCAAACTAATTTCATAATAGGCCTGCTTTGGATTTTAACTACAAAATTGCCCCCTTCCCCTCTACGGCGTAGAATATCACCATCAAATCAACCATTTTTTATTATTATTATAGGAAAATACGGCACCATATTCGACAATAAGTTATTAATTAAAATATATTTAAGTATAAAATAAATCTTAAAATGGACATAAACAACCTTCAGGTAGAGAAGAAAGGAGTTTTATATAGGGAGAAAAATAACCCTTCATGTAGGAAGGATAAAAGCCTTTATATGAAAAAAAAAAAAAAAATCTCTACATAGAGAGGCAACATCACTCATCAAATATTACCATTTATATTCACGGTTTATTTATTCATCATCCCAACGGATAACTATGATATTTAACCCTTGTCTTTACACAATAAAATAAAATATTTTAAATTTATAACACTTCAAAATATTTTTTATATTAATCTTACTATTAAACAATGCCTCGAGAGATATTTTTTTCTTCTTCTTATAACTCAATATTTGACCTATTAAACTGACTAATTTGAGAATTCAATCCCACGGTCCACTGGCGAACATTCCAATTAAAGCCAAGATAAGACCCTATATAGTTTGACTTCAAAAAATCATTTGAACTTACCAAGTTTTGAATATGAAATCTTGAAAAGAACATGCCATTTAACATTTAGCTTTATTGATAGACATATAACTAATTGTTATTATTATTATTTTTTGATAGAAATGAAATTGCATAAATTAAGCCCTTGTTTGGGATGAGTTAATTTAGCTTATTTTTTAATTTTTTGCCTAGTTAAAATAGTTGTGTTTGGGATAAATTTTACCTTTTTTGTATTTGATTTGATGATTGTAAAAAAAAACATAATTATAATTTGAATGTAATATTTTATTTTATTTTATTAATTAAATTAATTTATTTTATCTTTATTGACTAATTTAATCAAACTAACTTAGGACAAACGAAGCCTAATTAATTGTTAATTTATTTGAGGTTATTAAAATGTCGAAGATTGCATTCATCAAATTAGCATTGGTTTCTACTTCAAAATTATCAAAAAAAAGAAAAAAAAGGGCATATAGGTGATTATCCTGATTTTTGTTGTTATATGCTGATGGGATGGAATATGAAATGATATTTTTTTTAGATTGGGAATATGAAATGATATTGTCGGACGAAAAAAAATTGAGAGTGTTAATTTTAAAATTTTAAATTTTTTTTAAATGGTCGGATGAAAAAAAATTGAGAGTGTTAATTTTAAAATTTTAAATTTTTTTTAAATGATATGATAAGGAGTAGAGTCCACATATGATGTAATGTGAATGTCTTTATTATTATTTTTTTTTTCTTTTATTACGTCATTAAAAAAATTTTAAAAATTTAAAAATTAGATTTTTCTATCCTTGTTGTTTTCGTACACTCATTTCACTGTCTAGTCAAAAAGGAATCACAATAAATAAAACCCAAACAAAACCCAAGTCACTGTTCTATTCTGTTCCTTCATCAACTTCATTTCCCCCCACATTTCTCTTTCTCTCTCTCTCTCTCTCTCCATTCCCCCCCCCCCCCACATTTCTCTCTCTCTCTCTCTGACAACATCTAACTCTTAACTGCCACTCTCTTCTTCTTCTTCTTCTTCTTCAACCTCTTTAGATAACATTTCTGCTCTGTTTTCTCCAACAATGGCGGTAACTTCCTCCCGTCTTCCCATTTAATCTCTCTCTCTCTCTATATATATATATATACATAATGATTGTAGCTTCAGTCAGATCTCATTTGTGATACTTCTATTAAATGTTGTAACTTTCACATTTCAACACTAGTAGATTTAGGTCTTTTGTTCAGATCTAATCAAATCTCACAATGCTTTTGGTGTTCAAATATAAAAAAAATAATAATAATAATAACAAATAAGATCACTAATTTTGCTTGTGTTTGGGAATCATTTCTGGGTATATATATGTGTGTAAGTGTATAATATATGTATTGTTTTGGATTGGATTGGATTGGTTGAGCTGAGATTTGGTACTCATTAGCAATTTCATTGCAAATGATGAAGGCGTCGGTACAGTATAGGCAACAAGAGAGGAGTTTAGGGATCATGATGAAGGAGAAGGATGATGATCTGGCGTTGTTCCTCGAGATGCGAAGCCGTGGAGACGAGAGGGACGACCTTCTTCTTCACCTCTCCGATGATTTTGATCATCAATTAGGTATTGACTCCATCGATTGTTTTGAATTTTGAATTGGGTCTTAATTGATTTGAGAATTTGAAGGGTGCTTGATTGATTGTGTGTTTGTTTTAGTTTTTTCTTTTCGTTTTTCGCATTTTCTGAATAAAAGTAATGACAGAAAACATTGTTTTGATTTCTGTGCAAAACAAAATTTGATTTCTTAAAAAATGGTTTTTTTTTTTCTCGAGAAAATTTGAGTTTATTTATTTATATTTTTATAATTTTTTTATTTTTTTAGATGAATCTAGATAAATTTAAAAATATAATATTTATAGAATTTTTTTAATAAATTTATCAAATACAAAAAATGTAAAAAACATATAAAAATTCAGTATATTTTCATATTCTTGTGTATTTATTAAATTTTTAAAATATTTTTTTTACAAATATTTTAATTTTTAGGTGTATCTAATTTATATGCATAAAAAAAAATTGACTGAAAACAAAAAAAAAAGTTCAAATTTTCAAAAATTAATCAAAACCAAACAAGGTGGTTTTCGAAAACAATTCTCCAAATAAGTTCTGTTTTTTTTTTTTTTTGGTAAATGAAAAAAGAGAACAAGTCTGTGTTTTCCTGTAAATGAAAACAGAAAACGAAAACAGACTCGTGTTATTGACTTTTTCCGGTCTTGTTTTGCTTTCGTTTTATGTGTTTTGAGTTTGCATAAATGGATTAATAGCAATTTTTTGGTGCAGGATCAGAACAGCACAGCTCTTCCATATCTAAGATAACATCGACAATGCCTGCACACAGGACCGGCGCTGATGAATTTCTGAACTCAGAAAATGATAAAACTGATTATGATTGGTATTGCCAAAACATTTTATTAGTTTTCTGCCTTATGTCTGAATCTATTTATTGCATTTGACTTAATGCTTGATATACATGTTTGTCATTATGCCGCTGAAAGCCAACCCCCAAGTGTTATCACGAGTTCCCAAGTCAATTTACATCCCCTGAAAGTTGTTTGTTGTTCAAAATTTGAAATTCCTCGTAATCAAACAAGAGAGTCCAACATTAAATAGTGATTGGGTTGAACCAATATGAGAGTAGTGAAAGAACCATTTGGTGGATGGGTATCTGATTGTATTAAATGCAAGATGTGCTTGTTTAAGTATTTAATTTTCTGATTGTATTAAATGCAAGAGGTGATGGGTGTCTTTCAAAATTAACGGTGTTGCTATGAATTTAGGTCATATGTCATCTTCTCACAAATATAACTTTCAATAGTTACCAATAGAACTTTCACAGTAGTGGCAACACGTCACAGCTTATGATGAATTCGTTACTTTTCACTTTAGATAGGATCAAAATAAAAGCTTTTTCAATCTGGGTTTTCACAGTATATGTTTCTAAATGGAAACAAATTGATTGAAGCACGTGTTTGATTACAATGTACATTGCTGTGTCCAGAAATAGAGTATCAAATTTTCATTGCAGCTTTAAAAGTAATCTTTGTTTCATGAATTTTTTTTTCTTTTTAAATCATGCCTTACTAGTTTGTGATTATTTGAAATAATTTTGTTTCAGGCTTCTTACACCACCCGGTACCCCACTATTTCCTTCATTAGAGATGGAATCACAGAAAATTGTAATGAGTCAGATTGGGATTTCAAATGGTCATCCTGCTACTCAAACATCTATGGTAAGGACTTCATTTTAACTAAATCCTGTTTTTTTTTTTTTTATTTTTTTTTTTTTTTTTTTTCAGCCTGTCAATTTGTGTTTTTTAGCACATTAAAATTATTTTCTAGCATCTCAATATGAAGAATATCAATCTCACAGGATTTTGCTTTGCTGTTAGTCATTATTATTATAATTATTTTTCATGTGTTGTATAGTTTTTTGGTTTTTTTTTCCAGTTCAATATATTATATATCTCATTTGGTTTTGCTTGTTTTGTGAACTTTTATAGTCATGACCTCAACTTTTTGTTTTGCAGCTGGCTAAGCCCGGGCCAGAACCTGCTTCAACAAATAATGAAACATCTCGGCAGCCAGTTTTATCTACTGATTCAAACTCTTCCATTGCTGCAAATAAAAGGCCATCATCGTCATCGGGGCGGACATCAACGGCTCCTAGACATGCAACACCAACTGGACGAGCCACATTACCCGCAACAACAAAGCCCTCAAGACAATCTACGCCTACTTCACGAGCCACATTAGCCACAACAACAAAACCCTCAAGACCTTCTACGCCTACTTCACGAACCACATTACCCATAACAGCAAAGCCCTCAAGATCTTCTACGCCTACTTCACGAGCCACATTATCCACAACGGCAAAGCCTTCAAGACCTTCCACACCCACTTCACGAGCAGCATTGCTTTCCACTAAGCCAATAGTACCTGCAGTGCGATCCTCAACTCCAACAAGACCACTGGTCCGTTCTTCTACACCAACTGCCAGACCCTCTGTACCAGCAACTTCCAAGTCAAATTCAAGATCTGCAACACCAACACATCGATCATCAACCCCTTCAAATCGCTCTTCTTCAGTGACAAAGTCAGGACCCAAATTGAAAAATCCAGTGTCATTGCGTGGTACTTCTCCAACAGTGAAATCTAGGCCATCGATGCCTGAGAGACCAGTTTCAGCATCTAAGGGTAGACCAGAGGCGCCTAGTGCTCGATCCTCTTCTACTGAGACTTGTTCTAATGGAAGACCAAAACAGCAGTCGTGTTCTCCTTCAAGAGGACGGGCTTTAAATGGTTGTGCTCGTAGCAATGGAATTGAAAGCTCGCGACTTGCAATGAGCAGAGGACATTCTACTGGCAGTGATGATGTGAACCCTGTGTTGATGGGAACTAAGATGGTTGAAAGAGTAGTAAACATGAGGAAACTAGCTCCACCAAAACAAGATGATCATATCATGAACACTAGTAACTCAGGGAAGTCATTGTCCTCCCAAGAAAATTCTGGGTTTGGAAGAACGCTTTCAAAAAAATCATTAGATATGGCTATGAGGCATATGGTATGTATCCCTTACCTTACTGCTGGTTATCCTGTTTACTATTTTGCAAAAGCAAAACTAACAATTTCTCAAAAAAAAACTGGATTTATTCTATAAATAGAAGGCATAATGGTAATTGAAAGCTTTGAAATCTAAAGAATTTTGGATATTCTGTGTTCCAAAGTTTTCATTTATTGTGTTCAATTGACAGGAATGGAAAGGAAAAATAAAATGAAAACTGTTTTCTTTTCCTGAATTGTGTTTTTAGTTGTTGCGGTAAAATGTTGGTCTTACCATAATGTTTTCTTGACAGAAACATTTTCTCCCCAACCCCTTCTAGTGAAAAGTACATGATTATGCATCGCAAGAAAGGTCAAATTGCTTTTATGCATAACCTGAACAATTTCTGGAATATAAATAATTTTTTCCCCCTTTTAATCCATGACGGAACCATTTTCTCTCAAACCCTTTCCAGTGAAAAGTACAGGATTATGCATAGCGGGAAAGATCAAATTGTTTTTATACATAAACTTTCTTGTAAACTAAACAATTAATGGAAATGTAAATCATTTTTTTTCTCCTTTCCTTTTAATCCATTTTCTCAAGAAACATTTTCCAATACAGTATTCCTGACAATTGAACGGACTAGTAGGAACTTCTGCATTGGTACTATTTTGGAGAATGATCAAGTTTTATTCTTGTTCATGGATATTGCAAATCTCATTCTGATCCATGGTTTTTCTTTTGAGCAGGATATACGGCGAACCATTCCAGGTAATTTACGCCCTCTGGTGACAAACATTCCGGCTTCTTCTGTGTACAGTGTGCGATCAGGCTCAACAAAAAGCAGGACAGTAAGCGTTTCAGATTCTCCTCTTGCCACAAGTAGCAATGAAAGCTCTGAGCCAAGTGTCAACAACAACTCTCATTATTTAGATGGAAGTGAAGAAGTAGAAGAGAACGATGTTGGCAATGAGAGGGCTCACTCCTCTTCTCCTTCCAGCCTGCAAGATGAGTGATCTCCACGACTCGTCAGGCTGAGATATAGTTTGGTAATGCAAACTTTCACTTTTTTTAATTTTTATTGTTGTTTGGAAGCTAAGAAAGGGAGAGCAAAATTGTTTCTTAAAAGAACAGACCCCCCTGAGAGGCGCTTTATATTTTCGATGATTTTGATGGAAAGTTGCTTTTAGATATATTTTTCCAGGATCATTTATTAGTTGAACCTCTGAGCTCACAATTATACTTCTCTTGTAATGTGAACTGCTTTGTAATTAACTTGTGATAGTTTTAGCAAAGCTTCTGCCATAACTGTTTTTGCTTCTGAACTGCTTTCTTTGTTTTCATTTTCTGTTTTCTGTTTGGTGAATTGTTTTTGAGAACTGTTTTTGAGATAATTTTCTGAAAACAACCCACTTTTCAAGAAACAAGAAGATGTTTTAGATTTTTAGTAATTGTTCTCACACAAAAATGAAAATGATGGTTGTTTTCAAACCTTTCATCATTTTTGTTTTTGAAAACATGAAAGTAGAAACAACAAACCTCAAGATCAGATATCCATGTCTTTTTGCAGCCCATAGTTGACACATGCTTTTGTATTAGTGGGTTTGAAAAACAGTTGACTTGCTAGAAAATGTTTGACATTAATGTTTGTTCACATTATCCCCTGTAGCATCAAAGTCGTGAAGTTTTAGAATTATAGAAAGTCAATGCAAGTTGCAACCATTGAAATTACAAAAATGCTAGAGGCCCCAAAAATTCTACCAAAAGTTTTACCAAATGTCTCACATGGGTGTGGGACCCACATGGGACCCACCTTGTTTGGGTCCCACACTCATGTGAGACATTTGGTAAAACTTTTGGTAGAATATTTGGGGTCTCTAGCATTACTCTTGAAATTATTAATAAAACAAAAACTCTTTCTGTCTCTGTATATGCACTAGGGCTGAACTGTCATGATCCTAGTGATTCTATCTTGAATTTGTTAAGATATATATAGTAGACTACTATACTGTTCTTTTAAAAATTTACATGTTCATCAATGTTAGAGGCGAACTCTAGGGCGGGACATAAACTCAAATGTCTTGGATTCAACTCTTGCTAGTATTTTCTTAGGTGATTGTAGTATGAGAAATAAGTGTTGTCACGTCATGTATTGATAAAAGGGCAAAATCCACTTTATCCTTTTTAGATTGTATCATTTGCACTTTACCTCCCAGCAGTTCAATAATATGTAGAGACCCCTCTTATGTTTTGACTGTTATACATTTTGTTTCATTCCGTAGAAAATTATCCAAACTGACAAAAAAATGATTAATGTGTGCCTTATAATATAATCAAAAGTCAAATTTCAAAACAAAATGACAAAAGTGCCCTTTCTTCATCTTTTCCATTGAAGACACTAATTAAAATAATTGTATACATTATTATTATAAACATAATTATATATATAAAAATAACGCCTAAATAATACACATAAATTAAACAAATTCATGGATTATCTAGTTTAAGAGTTGTGACGGGGATTGTGGGTCCCATAGTGGGGCTCACTAATGTTAGCAATATGGGGCCAACAAACCATTCAGGTTCGTTTGGAATGTGGGTTAGTATTTTGACAAAATTAAAAAAAAAAAAGAAGCTCAACTGTAGTTAAAAATCTATTTAATTATGCAGATTATTATGCATATATCTATTTAGTAATTATTATATTTTAGTTAATTATACAAATCATTATAATAATTAAATTAAAAATTAGTTTCATTTTTTATTTAAATTTAAGCTTTTTTGAAATAATATTGTATTATATAATGACATTTAATTTTGCTTTATTCCATACTTTCTACATTAAATATAAGTTGTATTTAACTATTTTTTGCATTACTCAAAATTAAAAATAAATTTTTTTTTTACAAATGTATTAAGTCGTACCTACACCCTATTTTTTATAAGAAATTAGACAAGAATAAAAAAGAAACAATAGAGTAGTTTAATCATTTGGCCTCGTTTGGAACTAAATATTTTAATAAAAAAAATTAAAAAGTCATTATAAATTATCGTATTACTCTCTTTATTATTTTACACATCTTTTTATAAAAATTAAAAATTATTAAAATAATTTGTTTAAATTAAAATTATACTAGTTTAGTCCAAAATCACAAATCAACTCTGTGCCTGTTATTAAAATACAGGACATAGGTGAAGTTCTATTGACCCAAACTACAAAAAAAAAAAAAATATATAGTTTCAAAAAATTTAGATGGATGAAGCAAAATAAAGTTTGTTGAAAATCTTTTTCAATATTTCAAACTCATAGAAAGTCCACGCTTGACACAATGAGACGTCTACTTGTTTACTATGCCTTTAGACTCTATTAAATGATGAGTCGTGCTAGCGAGCTCGAAAGCTCCTCCCCCCTCCCCGAATCCTCCGAATTCAAAAAAAGAAAAAGAAGAAGAGAAGGAAGAAAAAGAAGAAGAAGAAGGAGGACTGGACTGGAGGGGCCAATATCAATCGGGTGAATGCAGAAGCGGAGGCGGAGGCGGGGCGGAGATGATCGGCCGACGAGCTACGACGATCGGCCGCTGATCAGACTGAACTGGAGTGCTGCGACGATCGGCCTCTCTTCTCTCCCTCTCCCTCTGTCTCAGACCTGCACCTGCATGAAGAAAAAGAAGAAGAAGAAAAAAAAAAACAAAAAAAAGAATGCCCAAAACGACGTCGTTTTGGGCATTCAGGGGATTAGGGGGGACAAAATTCGGAGAAAAAATCATTTTCCTTAAATGATAAGCCCTAATTGTTTATTTTATAGCCGACTTTGTTGACGATTTTTACGGTAGTGTTACATACATTAATTAATATATTAACATTAGTTATGACATTATTATTGACCTCACTCATTAATCACATTATAAATATAAAAAATCTCTTAAATTATATCATATCATCAATTAATACATTAATGGGTACATATAACATTATTTTAATTTTTAAGGTTAATACAGTTTCTTTAACCAACCAAACCACACAGTTTTGTTTATTCTCTCTCTCATTTGATCAATCAATGGAAGTCCTATACTGCTGTGAGGAACTAATTTATTGGAAATTAACAAAATAAAGGTAAACGAAAAAAAAGAGAAGGAAATGTACATGACATAATTTTTTTTTTATTATCTTCTTTACATTTTCCTTCTATTTTTGGATTTTATATTTCAAGAAGAATTTGTGAAAAGAAATATAAATATCAAATATATATATATATATATATATTTCATTCATATTTCTTTTCTCTCCGTAATTCTCTTTTCAAATTTTAGACACAACCATTGCCTTTACGTTTTAGGCTTTGTTTAAAAAGAGGAAGTAATAATCAAAAATTTAAAAAATCATATAAAAAGGTCAACAATTACTTTCCCTCTCATTGTAGTTTTTTTTATTTATTTATTTTTACAAAAAGTAAAAAAATCATTCCCAAACAATTTCTATATTTCAACTTATATTTTTACTTAAAAACTTAAAACTGGTGTATAGTGACCATATATGCATAATATTATGCCTATTTCTACATGGGGCATCTCCATCCGCCCACAACTCGGACTTTGGACATTCATTCGAAAGAATCCCACTACAGTTATTTTGAAAACCACCTTGTTTGGTTTTGATTAATTTTTGACAAATTGAGTTCTTTATTTTTCGTTTTTTTTTTGTTTTGTTTTCAGTCAATTTTTTTTTATATATTTAAAGTAATTTTTTTACTTTTTAGATGCATATAAATTAGATACACTTAAAAATTAAAATATTTTTGAAAAAAATATTTTAAAATTTTAATAAATACACAAGAATATAAAAATATACTGAATTTTTATATGCTTTTTTTACATTTTTTGTATTTGATAAATTTATTAAAAAAGATTCTATAAATATTATACATTTTAAATTTATATAGATTCATCTAAAAAAATTAAAAAATATAAATAAATAAACTCAATTTGTGTCGGGAAAAAAAAAACCATTTTTTAAGAAACACATAAAGTTGTTTTCAAATTTTGTTTTTGCACAGAAATCAAAACAATGTTTTCTTTCATTACTTTTATTTAGAAAATGCGACAAAGGAAAAGAAAAAACTAAAACAAACACACAATCAATCAACCACCCTTCAAATTTTCAAATCAATTAACACCCAATTCAAAATTAAAAATAATCGATCGAGTCGATACCTAATTAATCATCAAAATCATTGGAGATGTCCCGAACTAGTTTCTCGTTTGATGGAATAAATTCTGGCTCCAGTTAGAAATCCTTCTAGAACCCATTAGGCAAGCTTTCAATGGATGGCAAATTGCCTATACTCGCTTTCCAGTTAATAAGGGCATTTCTATGTCCAATCCATTATTCATTTTGTTATTTGCTTTGGAATTCCATGGATATGGAAATGAGATTTTTAATGTGATTACCAGAATAAGATTCTTCGTCTCAAAAGAGTCTTCTTTGTGTGATGGTGGACAAAAGATATGGATACTCCTAAACAACAACAGGATACCCTTAACAGTATCAAGGAGCATACCAAAGCCTGCTAGGAGGCTATTCCCAAATCACTCCTAGCAACTCCCGTAATCAAGAATCCGTTTTTACATATTCAAACAGAACTAAGACAAAAATATCTAGATTTGTCTGAAACAGAATTGATTGTAAAAAGCATGGATTACATGAAAGAATAGTTTTTATAAATCCATAACTAGTGATGATAGTTCCATGAAATCTGTCACCAGTAGCCAAGGGCCTGTAGAAGACCCACTTAATCTGGACCAGGATGAAAATGAGTTCGCCATACTTGTCGGTGAAGCTCAAAATCCCTCCGATGACGAATCAAACTTTGACGACTTTTGGGACTCTTTGACTAGTCTCACTGCCGATAAAGTAGAAAAGGAAAAAGACAGGAAAGGAAAAGGCAAGGCTGAGTGACCTTGTCTCCCATTAGTACTACCTGCGAGAAGTATCGGCATAAAACGACAACAAACAATAATGAACTTTTCGAAAAATAGATACTTTGTCAACCATCCAGTACCAACCACACAGCTATCCAAGCCAAGATAAAAAAGATAAGGTGCTGAGTCATCAAAAGATCAACTGAGGATATGGACAATCGACTTCACTCCACAAGGACACGCCACATGTCCTTCCCCTTATCTTATCTTTTCTTTTCCTTTGTCTATAAAAGGGATAGCCTCACCCTTGTTGAAGGCATAAGCAATAAGAGTATTTGTATTTGTAAAAATAATATAAGTGTGCTCTCTCTCTCTTTCTCTCTTGTTTCCTACTTCAGCAATATATA